ATAAATATTACAATTTAATTCATATTTAAATTATTAATTAATTTTGTAATTACTAATTAACACCTTTACTTACTAAACAACTAAATAAACTTAATCACTTATTATTTTTTTAATTACTAAATCTAATTTCAACATGTATTAATTTTTTAATTACTAATTACTTTTGTAATTACTAAAAATTTAAAATATTTTTAATAACTTATTAATAATTTTATAAAATAATTCACTTTCAAAAATAACAACAATTAAACTAACTAAATTAATAAATAACATTTAACAATAAAGTAACTAAATTACCAATTAACAATTACACTAATAACAATAACAATTAAATTAACAACAAAAAATAATAAAAATTAAATTTTCTTAACAATAAAATTAACAATTTAAACTCTCACAGTTAACAATAATTAATAAAAATTATATTTTCTTAAAAATTAAACTAACTAAATTAACAATTAACAATAAATTAATTAAATCAACAATTAATAATAAAAAAATAAAAATAATTATAAAATTAACAATTAAACTCACAATTAACAAAAAGTAATGACAATTAAATTTCTTTAAAAATTAAATTAACTAAATTAACAATTAACAATAATATTAAATATATCAACAATTAACAACACAATTAACAATTAAAATAAAATTAACAATTAAATATTTAAACTCTCACAATTAACAAAAATTAATACCAATTAAATTTTCTTAACAAATAAACTAACTAAATTAACAAATTACAATAATATTAATTAAATCACCAATTAACAATAACAAACAACACATGCAATTAACAATAATAATTAATTAAATTAACAAACAATATTTAAATTAAATTAACTAAATAACTGCAAAAATTAAAAAAATAAAATGAGGGGTTAGATGGGGGAGGACCTTCCACCAACACAAGGAGGAGAGGGGGCTACGCCGATGGAAGGACTTCGACTTGACTGGTTTGGCCGAAAAACAATCGATGGAGGAAAAGAAGAGAATGGAAGAAAGAAAGAGGAAAAGAGGGAAGAATGGGGGAGAGATTGAGGGGAGAAAGGGAATGAGGAGATAGGAGAGATGATTGGAAGGAAAATAAGGGAGAGGGGAAGATTTGATGGAAAATATGGCCAAATCAATGCTGTCACGGGAGGAGAAAAAGAGAGGGGAGAGATTTTTTTGTTTTTTGAAAATTTTTGGCCAGATGGGTTTTTAAAGTTAAAGCCTTAGCAATGGACCCAAAACCGTCACTAATTGTCGATTATTTTTTTTATAAATTTGAAAAAATAATCATTTGCCCCCAACGGATTAAATTTAGTGATGGTTTACGGAGCGTTGCTAATTTCAATTTTTGCAACGTTTTTTTTGAAAAAAAACTATTACAAAATTGGGTTTTTAATTTTTTTTTAAATTGCAATTTGCAACGATTTTTCAAGGAAAAAGTTGTTGCTAATTATTTTTTAATAGAATTAGCGACGGTTTAGTGGATCGTTGCTAATTTCAATTTTAACGATGATTTTTTTCGGAAAAGCCGTCGCAAATACAATCTAAATCCAAAAAAAATAAATTAAAATCTAGGTAATTAGCGATGGTTTGGTCAAACCGTCGCTCAAAACGGTCGTTTTCGAAAAATTTAGCTATGGTATTTTGGACCATCGCTAAAGCAACTAAAACCATCACAAAGTTTGTAAATTAGCAATGATCTTTGACCATCGCTAATTTCCCATCGTAAAAATCACTTTTTGTTGTAGTGTGTAATGGTTTCGAACTTTTCGTTCTTGTTATTTTAATATTATAGTAAGTCATGATCCACAACGGTGATCACGATCATTTTTTCAATCGTTCGCAATTTAAAACTATGGTACTAAGTGTTTTCGGTCTCTAGTCTATGCCTCTACATTTCGTTGAAGCGTAGTGTTCTTTAGTTTGCTATCGGTAGTATGTATAGCTTCTATATGTCTTATGCACCTTATCGCCAGTGGGGTAATTACTATGTGCCCCAATTGAAGTACCAAAAAGATAGATTCCGTAAGGTAGAGTAATATTGAGAGCATCATATTCACAAGATAGGCTTGTGGGACAAACATCAATAATGCACATTGGCTCATGCCAAGCTCCTCCTTCAATCATCATTTGTAACTATTTCAAGTTGATACATTTGTTTATCGGATATTTAGAACATTTTATGATCAAATGATTCCCTTCCTAGTTCAAAGATCTTTAGACCGTAGAACACCAAAATCCTTAAAAATACTAACGTAAACAGACCTTGAGTAACTAGATTTATGCTTATGATTATCATTCTTTGTTTCATTATTTTGTTCATATTATTTTTTTTTTGGATGAAAACGAACTTTAAGATTCTTAGCATAAGTTTGAAAAGTCTTGCATCTCAATGTTTTCAAATATTATGATCTAGTGATGATACGGATAGCTCAAATGCAAACCAGTTAGAGATCATGTTAGGTATTTTGGACCGAAGTCCGGAACACTTCGGTAGTAGTATGCATGACGACTAGACTTTATAGTAATGATTGAGAAAGGAGAAGGAAATAAATAAAACGAGTTGAACAAGTAATACTTCATTTAAATTCGATTTTCTCATTAATAGAAGAAATTTAACATTTATTAATAAACAATCTAAGCCAAATATCCGATATTTTCTCGTTGTTTATTTAGTGAGGAGTTTCCATAGAAAGATTGTGTTTCTATAGTTCAATAAATATAGAAACTATCTTAAAATTCTAATTCTATAAGAATTCAAATTCTAAAAATTTTGTTGGTTTGCCAAATCAATCGGATTAATTTCCATATATTTTTTTTAAGAAATTAGATTCAATATCAAATTAGGATTACCCTCATACCTATAAAAATAAACATTTCCGAATAAGAATCTACATCCCCACCAAAACCCGAACATCCACTTTACTTTTCTTTCTATCTATCCTCTTTAGAGTTTTTGTGATTAAACCACTCTAGTTGATAAGATCACCGGAGTCGTTTCAAAAAACCACTACTAAGCACCTTCCAAGCATATCGAAACCAAGCATGGAAAGTAAAAAGTGTCGGAAGGCGATGTCAAGAGTGAGGGCGACAAGTTTGAGGCCAAGATAGGGACAATAGAAAAAAATAATTAGAGTCACCACCTAGTATTATGGTCACCGAGAAACCTTATGACTAATCTATTCGGAGTAATACTTCATTTAAATTAAATTTTCTCATTAATGGAAGAAATTTAACATTTATTAATAAACAATCTAAGCCAAATATCCGATATTTTCTCGTTGTCTATTTAGTGAGGAGTTTCCATAAAAGGATTGTGTTTGTATAGTTTAATAAATATAGAAACTATCTTAGAATTCTAATTCTAAAAACTTTTTTATTGGTTCACCAAATCAATCGAATTAATGTCCATATATTTTTTTAAGAATTGGATTCGGTATCAAATTAGGATTACCCTTATACCTATAAAAATAAACATTTCCAGAATAAGGCTCTACATCCCCACTAAACCTAAACATCCACTTTACTTTTCTTTCTATTTATCCTCTTTAGAGTTTTTGTGACTAAAACACCCTAGTTGATAAAATCACCGAAGCTCGTTTCAAAAAACCACCACAAGCACATTCCAAGCATATCGAAACCAAGCATGGAAAGTAAAAAGTGTCACGAGGCGGCATCGGGAGCGAGAGCGATGAGTTTGAGGCCAAGATAGGGAAAATGAGCAAAAATAATTGGAGTCGCCACTCGGTATTATGGTCACTAGGAAACCTTATGACTGGTTTGTTCGAGTTACGGATAAGGGGTTTATTATATGTCGGAAAGATTAAAAATCATCCCGCCCCATCCCGCCTAAAGCAAGTTCGTATTGTATACAAAGCCGACTTGATTTCTAATATTTTAATGACGAAAGACTATAACTATTTTTTAAATATTTGCCTACTAGTTGAGTGATTTAAGACTTAGTTGGTCAAAGACCTTGTCCTCACTCCGTAATGAATGGCTAAAAATGGTGGATGCAAGGATATGCTACTAATGCAGCTCAAATGACATGCGTGAACAATAAAACTTTTTTAAAAAAGGGCAAATAGGCAAACAGACAAGACAGACAAATTGGCAAAATAAGCAAATAGATAAGAATAAGCAAAAATATGCAAAATTGGTAAATTTGATAAAATTAGCAAATAGGCAAAATCAACAAAATCGATAAATTGATAAATAGGCAAAATCGATAAATTAGCAAAATTGGAAAACAAGCAAAATAGGCAAATTGGCAAAATCGATAAACATGCAAATAGGCAATAAGGCAAAATCGACAAATTGACAAAATTGACAAATAGGCAAAATCGAGAATTTGAAAAATAAGAAAAATCGACAATTAGGCAAAATCGAGCAAATTGACAAAATAGGTCAAATCAACAAGTTGACAAAATTGACAAATTAGCAAAAATCGACAATTAAGCAAAAATCAACAACTAGGCCTAAATCGATAAAAGGCAAAAATCAACAATTAGGTTAAGATCTACGAAAGGTAAAAATCGACAATTAGGCTAAAAATGACGAAAACCGGCAATCAAGCTAAAATCGACAAAAGATAAAAATCGGCAAAAAAATGAATATCAATGTAAAACCAATTGTCACAAAGTGCATGATTGGTCGTGTTTGACCAAAAGGGATCCAAACCCAAAACTCGGACTCGCAGCTTTTTAAGAACATATATACCGAACAACAATAAACATCCAAGCAAAAACATTATCCAATCATCGCAAATGCAAGGACGATTTAATTAAAACACATATAATGACATTTCTATTAAATTATGCATGAGTAACAAATTAAGTTAATTACGATAAAAAACCACTTAATTAATTACAAGCACGCGTTAACAATAAGCGAAATTAGTACATATTAAAATAAGATGAAATAAAAATAGGTTAAATATAAATTAATGTAAACGTAAGGCGGATTAATTATCGAATGAGGATTCGCTCCGGCTCTTTTCAACCTCGATGAAGACTAATATTGAATCAACTAGGGAGGAAAGATGGCTAAGATCAACGACGATCGGATCCGAAGTGGCCATTGGTCGCTACGATCTGTTGGGGGAGAGTTGTTGGCTCACGTTATGGCTGGTTGGTAGAGATATGGTGCCCACGAGTGGCGAGGCTAGGCTGGAGGGTCGTGGTGCACGCGGTGGCCATGCTCGGTTAGAGGGCATGTGCACGAAGCGGGCCGACAAAAGGGAACACGTGTGTGCTATGTCCGGCATTAGGGGCGTGCGTGCTGGGGGCCGGGCGGGTGTTGGCGCCTGGGGCTGGAAGGCAAGGGTATACATGTTAGGGCCGATCGAGGCATCGTGCATTAGGGCTGGGAGAGGCATTGTCGCGCACCTGGGCGGGGCCTGGCAGCGCAAGAGGAGAAGCTCTGTTAGAGCGCACAAGAGGGCTATGGCTTCGCTCACTGGGCCGCGGATGGGTGGCGCGAGAGAGAGAGCCCGAAAGAGAGGGGCTATGCGTGGTGTTGCAAGCGTGGAGAGGGTTGGTTATGCGAGAGAAAGGAGGAGGCAGTGGGCGTGTGGGCATTGGTGGCTATGTGTATGGGCGAAAGGGCGTAGGCGGTTGAAGTTTTTGGCGTGAAGGTCGGTATATGTCGTTGCGGCTAGGTAATTTTAGGAAAAGGGTAAACGAGTAGTTGCCATTTTTGGAGAAAAAGAGAGCTTTTATACTTGGTTTTTTAGGATTTTTTGGGCTAAGTTTGGTTTGGTCTCTCATCTCACAAACCCATTTTATTTTCATCCTTTTCTCCCGTCCTTGTTAATTGCATCTTCCAATTGTATTTTTTAATTCCCTTTTTTTCTTTATTTTTTATATTTTTTTAAAAATTGGGTGCTAACAAAAAGTATCGGTAGCGATTTAAGGAAACCATCACAAGCATCCGCCACATGCGTCATAATGCAAGAGAAAGCAATATTTTTCACTAGTTTGAAGAAACCATCATAAGAACTTGTTAAGTTCGATGAAGCCTTGCGTGCTAAGGTCCGATCCATTCTTGAGCAGAGTTGTTAAGGAGGCTGGACTCGGGCTTATGGGAAACAATAAACTTAAATGACCTAATTTGTGTTGCTACAGAGGTAGAATCAATAATGCTAGAGAAGATGGGCCAATTCAATGGCACCAAGACAATGAAGTACAACTTTATACTCGTTTAACATAAAGGATCCAAAGAATCCAAATTTGAGAAGGAAAGTTCTTCTTGGACGATTAAGCCAAAGAAACTTGTTACTATGACATCGAAGAGATGGCAACCAATCAAAGGAAATTTGAGAATGAGCAAAACGGAATGAAATCTTTGCGCAAGGTAAAGAAGAATGCGAGAGGAAGAGTACAAATCAATTGACCCTATGGAATATTAAGGCCTTTATTGCTTGTAGTCAATATGTACGCACGATGCAATTATTTTAACTAATGGTGCTATTGTACAAGTAATTCAATTCACAATTCAATACAAGAGTTTTTGATTGTTTCATGTGTTTCTCAAATCTATTAATTGTAATTTTTTTTTTGTCTAGCATTTTATTGAGAAATGCATTTGTTTTGTTCTATTTTGCAAGTTTTGTAGCTAGCTAGATTGGTTTATCTTTGTTTGGTTTTTGGATCAAATATTTTCAGTCTCCATTCTATTTGTCAGCAGCTTCATATTAGACCATTGTTTTCAGATTCACAGTCACTAGCTTCTTCTTAGCTATACATTTTCCGGATTCTGTGCAACCATAGTTGAAATACCAAGGAGATGGGTTCAGGATAGACTATTGAGACAATCAGATTCTGAACTTGAGGCAAACATCAAGTAATGCACATTGGCTTGTGGGAAACTCATTGGATCAAGGAAATTATAGGCTTCATCTCTGACATCTTTTGTAAATATGGCAAATTCATACATTTGAAACAGATATTTTGAACGTTTCAGGGTCAAACAATTGCAACTAACACAATCAAACTCATTAAGTAAAAATCTACCAATTTAGATGATCCCAACAGAACCTCAAGACTAGTGATGTAGCCACTTAGCCCTTTTTTAATCTCTTTGTAGTACAATGATCTGCAGAACACCAAAATCCATGATAAACTACAAAGAGAAGAGGTGCTTAAAAGGCTCTAAACCAGCCCCAACGGGCCTAAAATCCTGGCAGGGCTTTTTTACCTCGTTCTTGGTTAATGTAATTCTTAGGGAAAAAATATGTGGGGCTTTTCCTCAAGGCCTAATAATTGGAAAAATAAAAATATTGGAGGGATCAAAAAAGAGGGTGGGCTTAGCTCTTTGGCCCAATAGACCTATAGCCTAAAACCCTGGTCACCATTGACAAGGGTTTTAACCTTCCCCCGTCTCTCTCTGCCCTTGTGTCACCGGAGAAACACCGAGCAGCTGGGTGCGAACTGGCAAATTCAAGCTCCCAGCCCACAAGCCCGAATTTTTTTCAAGAAACTCAAAATCCCAGAACTCAGGTTCCTGTTTTATCTCTCTTCAATTTTTTTTTTTTTTTTTTCCCTTTTTCTCAATCTACAGCTCTTTTTTATATGTGTGTGAAAAGAGTTAAAAGAGTGCAAAATATGCTGTTTTATAGAAATTTTAGTGAGAGAGTGCAGATTTTTTTCCCTTTTCAGCTAAAGTGTTTATCTTTAATAATTTGGAAGATCACATTAATCCATTAAAGAATAAATGCTAGTGAATGCTATTCTTTTTATTTTTTTATAGGGATTTTTAAGCAAAAGATGCCTTCAAAGACAAAGAAGAATTCGAAGGCGCCATCAAGGCTGTCAAATTCTGACCAGTCTGCTGCATCCCCTAGAACACCATCATTGGCATCTAGCGTAGACTTAGAAGATAGAGAACAAGAAGATATCGCGTTGTCTTTAGAAGACGCATCGAGTAAATATCCGTCTTTGATTGGTAAATCTGCTTTCATTGGTCGAATCACCGATGTTGAGCCGGAGTCTACTACTGCCGCAAGAGGTTGTAAAATTTGGCTTTCGGAATCTTCCCTGGTTTCTTCTTCCCTTGCCCCTGGTTCCATTGTATCGGTAATTATTTTTTGTTATTCTTATTTTTATTATAGTTTTTGAAGTTAATTAAGGTTTAATATTTGTTTCTGAAATTGTCTTAGCGATAAAATTGGTAGGTGTCGCTTGCTGCTGTTGAGAGGAGATTTTCGAGTAGTAGTTTTCCTCTCAGCTCGTTCTCCCGTGAATGGACCAGACAATGTGAGGGGGAATCTGTGGATGAAATAACTGATGAAGCTGGGAATTACTTTGCTCTTGCAACGGTTTTTCCTTCTTCTAAGGTTTGGAAATAAACACCCAGAAACTTGGCATCAGTGTACTTAAGCAGTGTCTTTGAATATTATGTGAATAGCGGGAGTTTCATCGGATTACATTTAATATTACTGCAAGGATTGGTAATTGTTTTGAATATCCGTCCGTCCCGGATGACCTAGCGTATGAAACCTATTTCATTTTGGGTGGAAGCCTCTAGGTGGTTGGGATTTCGGACGTTTAATCCTTAAACAAGAAACGCATTGGTGAAAAATGACTTCTGTGAAGCAGGAGAATTTTTTTTGAAATTGGGGAAAACATGCTAACTGTAGATAGAGCTAGCCATATGTATCTTAATTGAATCTGTAAAGTTCTAACGATTGTTTGATTCAAGCAAACAGTTTTACAAATCAATTCAGGCTTTTACTGAGAGAAAATTAGTCTTTTACCCTCTGCCTCCCTGAAGTCATTAGTTGTTCTGTAATTTGTTATTTGATTTGCAAATTTACGGAATCCAACAAATTTGCTCTTTTATGCTTTCTTTTCTCCAGGTTTCCAAGATTGGAGTGCAGTTGTCTTCAAACCTTGCCTACACGATGGGATGTCCTGCTTTAGGCAGGGTCATATTTGTTTACACTATTAGAAATCAACTCCTAACTGATATTGTAAATGGGAATGATAAGCCACTAGGTGCAAAGGCTGATAATCTTTCACTTCATAACTGCAATGAATTGTATCTGGAGCCGGTTCCTTTTATGGACAGAGTAAAAATGAAGAGTGATACTATGTCTGTAACAAAATTATCTGCAGAAAAAAGACATCACCAATCTGAAAATGGCACGATTTTGTCCCCTAAGACACCTTTGTGTCAGCCAAAGCTTAGCTCTTGTAGTCCCATTAAGTTAGCTTCACCAATATGTGAACAAGCAGCATCCAATATATTCAATTCAAACGGCATGGATGTTGATTTACTGGATATTAGAAAGGTATTAGAGGATGAAAGCGCCAAGAAACTTCTACAGGTCTGTGCTAATTCATGGCTGTATTCTCGTGTTCTAATATGTGGAAATTTTGTGGTCATCCCAATACTTTCAAATCTTTGTGTTTTCCGTGTCATAAGTGCAAATGAATTATCTGCGGATGGTAGTGATCAAGATTTGATGAAAGATAGAACTCATGGAATGCATCCTCAAGATTCTGAAGAATTGAGCCATATGAAAGATGCTTTTTCCATAAATCGTGAGACAAAAGTATATTTTCATCAACAGATGAATTCAACAGCTGAAAGACCACAACGACAAGGTTTTCCATTAATGCAAAGTGAATGCAGTGATGGTAAAACAATTATAGGACATGATAGATCAAAGTTGGGTGGTCTGCATAAGGAATATAAAGTTTTGAGGGACATAATTGTATCATCCACAAAGAACAATTTGTCGAGGTATGCTGTTTATGTTATTTTGTTTGAAATAATTTCGAACTTGCTGATTTAAATGTTTCTTTTGATGGCATGATACTGTCTGTCGTAGGTTTTGTTGTTTTGATGCGGTTGAATGACATAAATACTGACATTGGAACACCCATAAGAGATGAAAAGTCTGGATGCTGAAATGTTGGGACCATGCATGATGGTACTAGGATACCTTAGGGGTTTTGAGATCTTTTGTATTGTGTCTATTGTCTAATGCAGATAACATGCTCTAAAACCTTACCCTTTTCTTTTTTAGCCAGGAATGCCTTTAGAACTTGTGAAATCTGCCAAATGTAGGTGAATTTGGATTACATTACAATGAAATGTCTAGAGCTTTCCCAATGCTGAAACAATTTAACAATCGCTGCTCTGCGGTGCATTCAAAAGTTTTATCTTTCACATGTTTGCCTTTGGAGTCCAAGATCACCATGTTGCTAGTTCGAATGCTTTGGTCATCATCTCAAAGTCCCTTCTGTATCAGATTGCTCTGTTGTGTGCGTGTCTGTTTGTTTTCCTTTCACTGTGTGGCTTGGCCATGTTGAGTTCCACTGGATTTGTTTAGTGAAGTATATTGTCTACCCTAAACAAATGTTGTTTTATGAAAATATTAATTTAGAGTCCTATTGTAAACTAGTTCTAAATTAAATCTTAGTGCATTTTAGGTGAAAGGCTAAACATAGGCAATCTTCATTAAAAAGATCTAAATTTAATCAATATTTTGGAGGCTTCATTATTGAACACCTCTCATGGAGGGAGAGATTTTCCCCTTCTCACATGGTAATTTATTTGCTTTTGTCTGTTTCCTAGACTATATTTTTGTTTGTACTTCTGGATATAAACTTTTCAGTTTCATATAAAATATTCTGTTTCCTAGACTATATCTTATTATCAAATGATAAGGTATAAGTTCGTGTTTTACTGCTTTGCAAACTTTTTTGCATTGATCATTAATGCAAGTGTTTTAGTTTTGGCTTACGAACTACAAAGGGAGTGCTTCTTCATGGCCCGCCTGGCACGGGAAAGACTTCTTTGGCTCAATTATGTGTTATTGATTCTGGTGTCAACCTTTTCTCAGTAAATGGGCCTGAGATAATAAGTCAGTATTATGGAGAAAGTGAACAAGCAATGCATAAAGTTTTTGATTCGGCCTGTCAATCTGCACCTGCCGTGGTTAGATTTCTTCTCTCTTTGAATTTTTTTCTTCATTCTTCTCATTTTTTGGGGTCTCCCCTCTTTCAAACTGAACAAGCGGTCGAATACATTTGTTTTAAAATGAAACAAATTTATTATAACTCTTCAAGGCACTGTTGTTAGAAAGTGGCAGTTTTTGGTTAGCTATAAAAAATCATTCTTTCTAATGTAGTACTTTCAAACCAATTGCAATTGTATGACTTGTTGACATTAATGCATAGGGAACCAGGATCATGAAAACGAAAATGAAGTTGTTGACCTTTACAGTTGGCCTTCCTCTTCGTTTGTCTACAAACTGATTGATCACATTTAAATTTGAACTCTATTTTTTAGAACTATAAAATTTTGAAGATTATGCTTCTCTGAACCTCAATTTACCATACCTTATGTTCCTAGGTGGGTAACTAATGGTTATGCTTTTAAAGGTGTTCATTGATCAGTTGGATGCCATTGCACCTGCACGGAACAATGGAGGTGAAGAACTATCTCAAAGAATGGTAGCAACATTATTGAATTTGATGGATGGGATTAGTAGGACTGATGGACTGCTTGTTATTGCTGCTACAAACAGGCCTGATAGTATTGAGCCTGCACTGAGGCGGCCAGGAAGACTTGACAGAGAAATTGAAATAGGTAAATAACAACACAAATTTTCTTGTCCTTTTCCTTATTTTAATCCTAATTACTTGTTAAGTGTTCCTCACGTATGGCCTCCCAGTGTTCAGTTTCTGCTTATGATCCATTATAACTATGCATGATATTTTTCTCCTCACTTTGTCATGATATTCCCCATATTCATCTAATGAGCATCTCAACGAATTAGAGGATATAAAAAAAAAAAAAAAAACCCAAACATATCATTACCTTTATCCTGCCATACCTGTTTATTTCATTTCTTTTTTCATGCAGGGGTTCCTTCTCCCAGCCAACGATTGGATATACTCCATACTCTTCTTAGTGAAATGGACCACTCAGTTTCAGATATGCAACTTCAACAACTTGCCATGGCTACACATGGTTTTGTGGGTGCTGATTTGGCAGCCCTCTGTAATGAGGCAGCTTTGGTCTGTCTTAGGCGTTATGCTAGGTCCAAAAATCTGATTATTGTTCTCATCCCAAGGGTTCGTCTATTGCATATGAAGGTTGGTCTGACAGTGTGGTAAAAGGATCCGATTGCTCGACAAGGGTAAGAGATATGTTGAGGGATAGTGCAGATTCTGCATCGTCAAGCACCTCATATTTGCCTGGAAACCCGCCATCTTCTTGCTTCAGTGGAACTGTCTCAGAAGTCGCAGATAATATAGAGAATGGTGTTATTGCTTGTACTAAAGAGGAACATATGGTGGAAGAAGAATCCATGTTGAATATTGTTTCTGAAGATTTTGAAACAGCCAGGATGAAAGTGAGGCCTAGTGCCATGCGAGAGGTATGATTGTTATTTCCATATTGCTTAAGGACTTGAGTTTGATCAAAGTACAGTATCTCTTTACCTGAATATGGAAAAGCTACTTTATAGATGGGCACTGCACCAGATAACGACCAGTTACACCCAGTGTTCGTGGTCCAGCACAATTATCATGTCTAATGAGCTCTACTTACATCATACCATATGATTCATTCTTCTGTTATTTAGTGTTAAAATTTCTTCATTTTGATTTTGGAGTATTTGGCGTATGGAGTAATCTATTCATGTGTTCCAAAATCATGTAGTGATTGGAGACATGAAAGAATCATGGTACTGATTTAAACATCAGATTTTATTGATCTGGAAGTAGGTCATGTTCTGCCACATCTTTTTGATTAAGACTATTAGAGTTTATAGCTTTCAGTTATCCAAAGAACCGAGATACCTGGTCAGAACAATAAGCTCCACTACCTGAACTTTGGCATATAAACATTCATAGCACCCATGTAATATTGGAAATGAACTTCCTCAGATTTAGGCATTAAAACCATTTTAGTTGTCACTCTAGATTCTAGAAGGATTTATATTAAGGGGTAAAACGAAAGAATAGGGTAATGAGTCTTGTTGATCTACTTGTTTTTCTAAACTTGTTCTGCATATAGGTAATACTTGAGGTTCCAAAAGTTAATTGGGAAGATGTGGGCGGCCAAAGGGAGATAAAAACTCAATTAATGGAAGCAGTGCTATGGCCTCAAACACACCAGGATGCATTCAAGCGCATTGGTACCCGTCCCCCAACAGGGATATTGATGTTTGGTCCCCCTGGTTGTAGCAAAACTCTCCTGGCCCGTGCAGTAGCTTCTAAAGCAGGATTGAATTTCCTTGCAGTTAAGGGTCCAGAACTTTTTAGTAAATGGGTTGGTGAATCTGAGAAGGCCGTAAGATCCCTCTTTGCAAAGGCAAGGGCAAATGCTCCATCAATCATATTTTTTGATGAAATTGATGGACTTGCTGTCATTCGTGGGAAGGAAAGTGATGGGGTTTCAGTTTCAGATAGGGTTATGAGTCAACTCCTTGTCGAATTGGATGGTAAGTAAGTTTTTATTAACATCAAACTTTATTGGGCTTTTTGCGTGTAGGATTTTGTCAGTGCATGTGATGACTTTCCTAATGTGATGTGCAACTCATTTAACAAGGGAAATTATCAACATCTAATTTGTTTTGGGATATACCTAATCTTGAGGCTTTATATCTTTTAAATTAATAAATATTTTACTGGTTGCTGTAGGTTTGCAACAAAGAGTTAATGTTACTGTGATTGCTGCTACAAATAGGCCAGACAAGATTGATGCTGCCCTTTTGAGACCAGGTGCTCCAACCCTCTCTCTCCCACTCTCTACCCAAGCACCCCCGGACATGTACCATTGTACTGTTGCAATTGTGGTTCCTTCCTAATTGATAAACAATTTGAACAGGACGCTTTGATCGACTGTTGTATGTGGGTCCTCCAAATCGGAATGACAGGGAAGACATATTTTGCATCCATTTGCGCAAAGTTCCATGCAGTTCTGATGTCAGCATAAAAGAACTAGCTTGTCTCACTGATGGATGCACCGGAGCTGATATATCATTAATCTGCCGGGAGGCAGCTGTTGCAGCCATTGAGGTTTTCCTAAGTTCTTTCTGTATTTTCTTGTATACTTCACTTTGGTGTTTATTTATGTAATATTTTCCTTGTTACCAGGAGAATATTGATGCTTCAGAAGTATCCATGCAACATTTAAAGTCTGCAATTCAACAAGTCCAGCCAACGGAGATTGATTCTTATCAAGATCTGTCAGCAAAATTTCAGAGGCTCGTTCACTCTAGTGACAAAGATGAATTAGGAAACCAAGAGTACTCAAGTAGATCAAACTCACTTTCCATCAGGTAAGACATTTTTTCTCCTTAAAATCTCTTGTTTTCTTTTATTTGGTCTGGAAACTGGAACGAGAATGTGCCACTTGGCATGAATGCATTTTATAAACTACCCCTCTCTCTTAATGGTGTAAGACAGAAGCATGAAATTTCATGCTTATCAATTTTCATTTCTAAAGACTATCAAAAATTTTTTTTTACACTAGCACTGTGCAGATGATCGTCTCTTCCAAGGTGGCCTTATTTTTTCTTGTCACATTGATATTACAGGACCGTTATAAAATCCATGATGCAGTTCTTGAATCGCTCCTCTGCGTCGGGCCCGAAATCTTCTTCGAATGGATAGTTGCGATTCTGCAGCAAGTTTGTTGCACATCTCTTGCATAAGCAGCAGCAGACAAGAAATGTTGTGCACAGTATGCGTAATTGCACATGAGTGGAAAACTGCTCATGTCTGCTTTAAGCATGGTCCTTTGGTGGCTGAGTTTAGGATTTCACCTGGATGTATTGGGCACCACCAGCACGTTCTGACTAAAAATGTATACATTAGTGAAATGCAACTGCAAATTTTTACGAGGCTAAATCATGTATCTATAACCTTATAGATTGCTTATACCTTTTTATCTGGAGCCAGCCACTGCTGGATACTGGTCAGGGCTTGTGTTTAGAAATGGATTCTTAAAAAAAAAAGATAAAAGACCAGTTATTTAGAACTGATGAGATGAATGTGTGTGAAAAATAGTCTTAGTAAAGAGAGAGAGCAATGAAAGGTCTTGTGCTCGTTGAAATTTCCTTTTCTCCTCCATAATGTTTAAAAAATTTGAGAAAGGTATGGAAAATTTTGTCCTCAATTCTTAATTTCCTAAATTTCTTTCTTGGAATTTTGAAAAGATGGATTGTTTGAATTTCAGTATTTTGACAGTTCACGGGTAGGTTACCTGGGCTGGGTTACTGCCAATAGAAATGCTAGACATGGAATCTTGTGTTTCTTTCAGCTGGGGCCAAGGTCATTAAAAAAGAAGAACTACCCTCTTCATATTTTTTTAATGACCTAGGAGAGTTGTATGATTGGGTCTTGAAAATCTTTTTAAGTGTCAGTTTAGTTAGGGTTTGTAGATAAAGATGGAGACAAGTCAAAAATATCTGCTGGGACTACCAATGGAAATGATGCATGATCTTCAACCATTTAATTATTGGTTTCATATAAAAACTGGAATGACAAGAAACATTATCTAAAGTTCAAAGAGATGTGAAAGTCATTTCCTGTTGCTTGGACTACAGGGAATTATATATATATATATATATAATTTCCCATTTCTACAAAAAAAAAAAAAAAAACCCCATTTCTACAGTCAAAAAAAGATGGGGATCGTATAATCTTGTCATGTCTTTTCGATATTTAATTTTCAGAATTGAATGGAAAATAGAAACAATTATTGTGCCAATTCTTTGGCTCAAAATAGAGACACAACTACCACATTCACATTCATGTATTTTAGCACCAAACATAGGAATTGAGATTGGTAAGGAGAAGGTGTTTAGTCCCAACAAGCAAACAAAGTTGTCTAGGTAATTTGTGGTTTCGTTTCAATCTCATAAAGATACTTTCTGCCTTCCTTTTTTTCATTTGTCAATTTCTTAGCTAAAATGGACCAAAACAAACACTGTTTTGGATCTTTTAGTGCAAAGTCAAATCTAGTTATTCCCATAACATTTATAATCACCATTAATCATCCCCCATCAATACTCTACCATAGAACCTTCTACATCTAGCCCAAATGCCACATAAGTCCTTTCTCCAAGTTGCCATCTTAGATTCCATGAAATAATAGGTCATCAACAACAAAATTTTCTTTCTTGCCCCCAAAATTAAAATTGAAACAAAAGATTTTTCCCTTTTTTTTTTAATCAACTCCATCAAAAAAAATTCTACCTTTTTTTTTCATTAACTACAAAAAGTAATTAAAATTAAGATCTTATCACTTGAAAAATAATAATAAGAAGAAAAAAAAAAGGAAAAAGAAGTTGATTGATTCCCTCATCAACAAACCCAAAAAAATCTATCTCTTACAAAGTGACCAAACTTTGCACTTTCTCTCTCTCTCTCTAATCCTTTCCTATGCCAGTACAAGTCACTTTGGATTCATAAAAGCTTCTCTCCACTCTCACCCAAAAGCAAGTCAGCTCCACTCTCCTGTACCACCAGATCTTCCAAAGTACCAACCTTGCCGTTGCAGACACCAAAAATGAAGCCAAACAGGATTCTCTGCTACAGTTTCTACAGCCAATCTTACCCTAGTTCAGACCAAACACCCGCCTGACTGAAACAGTTCCAAAATAACAGTGGCGCGTGAGGGACACTTTCCATTACCAAAAAAGTTTGTAGGGAGGTTAAGGATGAAAAAAAAATCCTTAAAAATCCAATCTTTGTAGCCCGAAGTATGATAGAGGGAAAGAAAGTTAAGAAATAAAGACCCCCAAATCCCGGAAAAACAAAAAAATAAAACACTTACAACTGCATAAAAATCATAAAAGCCTTAAAAGGAAAAATACAATTAAAAATAAAAATAAAAACCAAAGCATTAGCAACAGTACTCATAATAAAAGCTGAAAAGAAGCAAACAAGATCCACCTCGAACCTCTCTCAACCTCCATCATCCCCTTCTCCTCCTCCACAATTCCCACCACCATCACCAGTCTACCACCACCTGTCTCTCTCTTGTCAAAACAAATTTTCTTGAGAGAGAAGAACAGGTGCCGGTATATTAAAAATCCAATCTTTTTGTACTAAAACAAATAAAAATCCCATCTTTGTATGGATTCTTACTCTGCATCTTTCTCTATTCCTTTCTTATACAAGTTCCCCCATCTTTATTTTCTTTCCTTTTTGTTTCCTTTTTGTTCTTCTTGTTCTTCTTGTTAGTGTTCCATTAAATACCTTCATGTATTGTTATCCATAAAGAAAGTTCCAATTTTTGGAAAAAGCTCAAATCTTTTTTGTACTGTTTTTTATGCCAAAAAGAATAAGTGGGAGAAAATAAGAGAGAAAACAGTGAATTGGGGTTTTTGAGAAAATGAGAGAGGATGATTCGAATTGGTTTTCAAGATGGGAAGAAGAGCTTCCACCACTTGAAGAACTTATGCCTTTATCACAAACCCTAATCACTCCTGATCTTGCTCTTGCTTTTGATATTACAAACCCCACCAACACCACCACCACCATCACTACTAATAACCATAACTCTTCTCTCCATCAAAATCAGCCTTTACCACCTCCTCCACATCCCCCTGCTGTGGTTTCTCCAACCCCAACTAATCCAATGGCCTCACCACAGCCTAATTCAGGGGAATTCGCAGCGGATTCTGGTGAATTAGGCTCAGGGGCTGGAGGTGATGAGCCTGCAAGAACCCTTAAAAGGCCAAGGCTTGTTTGGACTCCACAGCTTCATAAGAGGTTTGTGGACGCTGTGGCACATTTGGGGATCAAGAATGCTGTCCCTAAGACAATAATGCAGCTAATGAATGTAGATGGGTTAACCAGAGAGAATGTTGCTAGTCACTTGCAAAAATACAGGCTTTATTTGAAAAGAATGCAGGGTTTGTCTTCTGGTGGTGGTGCTGGTGGCAACGGTACAGGTGGTGGTGGAGGTGGATTGACTGGTGGCACTGATGCTGCTACTGATCATTTGTTCGCAAGTTCGCCTGTGCCAGCGCATTTTTTGCATCCAGGGAGGCCTAATTCGGAGCATTTCTTGCCATTTGTGCCAGTAGCTGCATTGCAACACCACCATCACCAACAGCAGATGGCTGCTGCAGCAGCTGCAGTGGGACTTCCTCAATTGCAAAGTCAGTATCATAGGCCGATGCACTTTGGGTCGCCGACAAATGGTCAGTTTGAGAATCCATTTTTGGCTAGGCAAACGCAGCAGCCTGTGCATAGGACGGGGGCACCGTTGCCCACTACAATTCCGGGTTATGTGGAGGATTTGGAGTCAGCGAATGGGAATGGAGGAAGGAAAGTTCTCACTTTGTTTCCAACCGGGGATGATTGAGTTCGGGTAATTGTTTGACTCCTTCATTGATCTTTCTCTTTTATGGTTGATTTGGCTCCTGGGTCTTTGTTAAATTGGTATTTGCGGGTAGTTTTGTTAGAGTTCAATTTAGAAACTTTCTTGTCATTATTGCATTAGCTGCTTCTGTTGTCATTGTTAGCAATCTTAATGGTAGATATTGGTCTGGGGTTTCCATCTACAAATCCTAAAATAGTCCTTCTTAGTTCCTTGTAATATCAATATCTCTTGGGATTAAGTGGGAGGGATGGATAGTTTTGTTTATGGTGTCCTTCAATTCTACGGGCTTCTACATGTGTAATTAAGATATTGGTAGCAGTCTGTATGTCCTGTCAGCTTCTGGTGACAGATCGAGATGCCATTCTTGGTGGCAAATAATGGAAGCGTAATCCATGTCAACAATTGTTACAGTCTTGAGATATTGGGTCAATCTGGATTTCGGAGAGGGTTTGCTTTATCCCAAGATTGTATGGGAATCGGCTCGGTCCTGTTATATTTATAGTCTTCTTGTTTGCCATTGGTCATGATGGGCTGCTGGAGCATTTGTGCTTGCTTATGAGGATAAATAATGGTGGCAAGTGCATTTTATGCTCTCCAGAAATCTAAGCATGGGGTTAGTATCCTTCGTTGGCACATTCGTACTCAGTTTCTCAGCGAGGTTGGAAAATATCTCTACTATTAGAGCCTTCAACCTTTTTTCTTTTCTTTTTTTCTTACTCCTGTGTTATGTAGAGGTGAGTGGTACTTGTTGTATATTGTGTGACTCCATAGAAGACTTGAGACCCTGAAGGGTTCTTTTAAAATCTGATGTTTTTAGAATGTTTAATTTAATTTAATGTTCCAGTTGAAGTAGCTGAAGCTTATCCATGCCCATGACATTCCCTTTGTTTCTTGTGTTAACTTATATATGTTTCATGTCACACGAATTAGGCAATCAGGTTTGTTTCTCACTCAAAGAATGCAACTGCATATAAACCAAGATTATTCCGATGAAGCTTTTTCATTCTTGTTGCTCTTGTTTACAACTGAAAGATGAACAGTCTAAACAAGCTGTAGGTACAAAAGAACTTAGCTAGGATTCTTTTTCCTTTTTCTCAACTTAGCTATTTAACCATTTACTGTGAAATGCTGAAATTACCCTGCTTGCTCTATCAATAATGTTTTATCAACTGTTCTTGGTGAACCTTGATTTTGGCTTGTCTAGGTTGTACAATATAATATGTATATGCATACCCGATGGTTTTATTTGATCTTCTTTAGTAAATTTGACTCATGT